CGGGTTGGCGGCGGCTAGCGCCTCCATCTCTTCCCGCAGCAGGATGTCGGCTTCCGTCTGGTTGCAGTACAGCAGCGCCAGCCGCGTCGGGTCGTCCTTGTTCTTCAGCACCGCCTGCAGCACCTGCACATCCGCACCCCGCAGCCCGTCAGCGGTTGATGCCAAGCCGACCGAGACCCACTCGAGCACGCTGATCCCAGACAACAACAGGGTATTGCCGGACCAAAACGCCTTTAGTCACGAGCTCGAAGCATTCCAGTCCCAAGGGCCATCAATCTCCAGACAAAAGCGTCACGAGCAGCTACATGTGCACGGGGCTGGCCAAGGAGGACGAGCGCAGGGGTGGCGCACCTGGAACATGGGCGTGATGCCGGACCCCCCCGCGAGCATGCTGATGCGCGCGGTGTGCTTGCGCTTGCCGTTGACGCTGAAGGCGCCGTTGCCGTGGTACACGAAGTGGCCCACGGGGCCCTTCACGTCCACCGTCTGCCCAATGGCCAGCCCGTCCAGGTACTGCGTCAGCAGGCCGCCCGCCGGGAACTTGGGGTGCACGCCGCCAAAGTACACCTGCACGCGGGCAGACATGCGTCAGGCGCGGGGAACGCGCGCGGCACAAGCACAGGACGGATCGACGTACACCTGCCAGGGCGGCTGGAGCGAGATGCAATCGAACGAGCGGGGCACACGGGGTCCTGGGCCTCGGCCTGAGTGCAAAGTGTTCCCACAGGATACCGGGACGCATGTTCCAGGCCGGCCGTGCGTTGGTGTGGCCGGGCGTGTCATGGCACTGACCTTGATGACGAGGTCGAAGTAGCCGACTTCGTCGTCGGAGGAGGTGGGCGTGTAGGCGCGCATGACGAGCTTGCCGTCGATGTGCGCGCTGAGGAACATGTGCTTGCCCACGGGCAGGCCCAGCCGGTGCTGCGGGGTCTGCAGCGCAAAGCGGAAGCGGCGCACGTCCTTGCTCAGCACGTCCTTGCGGATGAGCTTGAACGGGATGCGCTCCTTCGGGTTCAGCGCGTACAGCACCGCCGGCTCCGCCTCCTCGGTGAGGGGGTCCAGCGTGGGCGCGCTGAGGAAGCGGGAGCCCCCGCGCAGGCTGCCCTCGGGGGTGCTGTCGCCCAGCGTGGACGTCACCGCCAGCTCACCGATGTAGTAATCTTCCAGCATCGCCTTGGCCTTGGCGCTGCAGCACACGCACACACCCCTCTCAGCAACACACCAGGGCAGCAAATAAGACACGAGCCAAGGGGTGAGGGAGACCCACAGCATCCCAACACTGAGACAAGCTTCCCAGCGAAGTCTGACTGGCGTGGGCCCTCTCCTTACGTGAGTGCACACGAAACTGCGAGTACATAGCCACATCAATGCGCACTGTGCTTGAGAGTCATCACAATTGAAGACGGGTCCAAATCTCTTCACCCAACGTGGTTCCCATCTGATCAGGCAACACAGTCCTCAATTCAAAGGCACAAGTAGATCGGTGCTGCCGGAGACCATTAAGGCCCCTTCCCCACTCACCTGTGAATTGCCTCGAACTCTTCCGTGCAGTCGGTCCCCGCGTTGATAAGGATGCTCTCGCCGCCCCCCGGGTGGTCGTCCAGGAAGCGCGTGGCGTCGTACACCTTGCTGTGCACCACGATCCACGCATCCTTCTCGCTGTCGTGCTTCTTCACCTCGCTCAGCGGGATGCTGCGCTGCACGGCCGCCATGCGCGGCTGCGACACGCTGCGCTTCATTGTCGGCGCAGCGGGGACGGCTGCCGCTGCGGCCGCGTCTGCCTCCTCCTTCTCCTTGACCATCCAGCCGCCCTTCTCGTTGCCCGGCCGCGTCGGGTGCTCGAATGTGAGCCCGATGCCCCCCTCGCGCGTGCGGCATGGATGGATGCGTACGCGGAACCAGCAGTTGTTCATCATGCCCTGCATTGCAACATAGCAGGCGCACGAGCGCGTCAGAACACGCAGAAACGAGCAGCGAGGAGAGGATCCGAATCTCAAAGCAAGAGTGGGCAAAGACCAATAAAAAAGTTTGCAACCCTCATCAGAGCTCTTGCTGGGGCGTCAACGAGCGGGCAACGAGTGACAACATCAGAGCCTGATGACAACATCAAGCTGCCCAATAACTTGGTTAAATCTGTGCAACTGGGCCAATGCTGTTGCATCTGAAATGCGTACAACTCTGAACCAACATGAAAAATCTGAAGGGGAAGCCTTTGTGGCGCCAGCCCTTCGAAGTAGAAAGGGGAACTTCCTAAGTGTCAATGCAACCAGAGACTTTCTTTCTACCAGACTCTAGCACAGCATGTAGCTTCCTCGGAGCAGCCCCAGCAGTTCCCGGCCCGTGCCAGTTGCTCACCATGACGTTCCAGGCGATCTTGTCCGGCTGCGTGTTCATGCTGGAGTCCCAGGCGCGCACGGCCATCTCCTTGGTGGTGAACAGCGCCATGACGTCCACCTCCAGCTGCCACAGGCACCACGCCCAGTGCTTGCCATACTCGGTGGGGGGCGCCCCGTGCGCCAGCTCTGCCATTTCCCAGCTCTCCCCGCCGTTCACCGAAACTTCCACGCGGATGATCTTGCGGCCCCCACCTGCAGCCACCCAGGCGCACGCTGTGAGATCACCCTGCAATCGGGGGTTAATGAGAGTTCTACAGAGCACGTCAGCAAGCGCTACCCAGCAGCCCCGTTGGCCAGATTGAGCAGGAGATGGGGAAGCGTACACCAAAACGGGCAGGCGTACCTGAGTAGGCGTAGCCGCTGATTGTGTACTTGGCGGGGGCGTTGGCGATGGAGAGGACCTCCCCGTGGGCGGGGGACCAGATGGCCGACTGCACATTGAGCTCGTTGATGATGAAGTCCGGCTTGTACCACCAGCCTGCACGCACACACGCCCCACCGCTCTCAGACGACATCCAGCAAGGATCAACACCGGGGGGGAGGGCTCTGGAGCAAAGAGCGCGTCAGCATAGGCAGTGATCTACAGGCAGGCTACAGGCCTTCTCCCGCAAGAACCCCCTGCTATCCCAGATGCAACTTTGGGCCCCCGCGCCTGCCTCAATGAGGAGGCCCTTGGGGGTCCACAAGCGCCCCCCTGCGCAGGCCAGGGCGGCAGCTCACCTTCCCTGTTGGCGCGCTCTGCATCCACCTGGCTGGGCAGCACACGGTTGTCGTTGAAGTGGTAGTAGTTCTGGCTCTCCCCCGCAGTCACCTCGATCTTGCGCAGCCACTTGACGGTGCGCCCCCCGATGTACCCGGGGATGATGGTGCGCACCGGGAAGCCATGGTCCGGCTCCAGCCGCTCCCCGTTCTGCTCGAACGCCAGCAACACGTCACACGCAGGGTCCGCCGCCACCTCCATAGTCAAGCTCGTCCCGTACTTGCTGCCCCCCCCGCCCGGCAGCGTCTCCTCCCCCTCAAAGCACACATAGTTGCCCCCCTCGTGCTTGCCGTGCGCCCCGACGTGCTTGAGGACGTCGGACAGGCGCACCCCCCCCCACACCGTTGTGCTGACCCCCGCGGCGCCCCAGTTGAAGCCGATGGTCTGCTTGACCATGTTCTCCTCCTTGCGCCGGTTCCCCGCGCACACCATGGTCACCGGCAGCGTGCGCCGCGGCAGCGCCAGGAGGTCCGCCATGCTCAGGCTGCACGGCCGCCCCACCAGCCCCGACACCTCGATGCGCCAGCTGTCCCACTCCCCCTTTGGCACGGCCCCGTGGTTGCGCACGTAGTGCAGCGAGACGGGGGTCATGAAACCGTGCTCGCGCAGCCGCTGCAGCGGGGGCTCGCAGTTGAATGGGTGCCGCCCCGTGAGGCGCACCAGCTCGGGGTGGCGCGCCACCCAGTCGTCCGGGGTGCCCACGTCCTTCTGGTCCACGCCGTAGCCCGCCACGCGGTCCTGCGGCACGGCCCATCCCGCCTCCTCATCTGAGTCATCCTCGTGCGTGTGCCCATTGGTTGTATGCCCATTTGCTGCAAGCCCATTCAGTGCGGCAGCCTTGAGGGCGGGGATCAGATCTGCAGGCTGCACGGGGGAGCTGCCCAGCGGCGCAGGGCGGGGCGGGAGGCTGACCACAGCGGCAGGCATGGCGGCAGGGGGAGGGAGAGCCACAGGGGGGCTCTACAAAAGGTTGCACAGCAGCAGGGGGCTGCTCCGATAGAGGCAGGTGGCCAATGCTGTGCGAAACCAGTGCAATCTGTTGTAGATCTCTGCTCCTGGCAAGCAATGCCGACCGTCACTGCCCTCAACAATCACAGTTCCACCACCGTCAGCTGCAATGTTGCAACCTTATATTGTTCACAGAAGGAGCACTGAATAATAAGCTTTCCTGGGGCTACTAGGTAGATCAAATGACCGGCAATTCAAGCTCAAACAACTTTGGTCTTCGCTCTCACGGCCACAAGGATCTGTGCTCATGCCTCTCGACAGCATCCAAGTCTCTCCTAGCAGTCCGCAGTGACACGAAAGATGAATGGAATCATGGATGGCTCTCTTGGCCATTGCTGCAGTCAAGACTCCACAAAAAGTGAGGCCAAATCCGCGAATCGGGGCGAGGGGGCCGATTGGCCCAATCACGGGGCTGCAGCGTGTGGCCCACGTGCACCATGGGAAAGACCTTGTCAGAAGCGGCGGCCTCCTTCGTTGTCCCTACTTTCGCCACGAGCATCTGTCCAGAACTGCTGAAAGGGCAGCAAGACCAGGTTTAGCAACGCTGATCGAGGACAGTCTCAGATTTTTAAGCAATACCGTTCGATCTTGACCTTTGGGCTAGCGAAGAGCCAAAGCGGTCCGATCACACACCAAATCCTTCCGTACGTATTCGCAGCCTGCCACGTGTGACATTTCGATCGGGGCCTGCGAAAGTTCGAACCTTGGGAAGGGTACCCACCGTCCCGACGGTACGGACCCCGCGTGATCCCTCCGGTTGACGAGGATTCCAGAGTGACTCGTATGTCACTCGGCTTTGCGGCTTCCATTCCTATGGCCTATTTGGCTACGGCGAGTACGAAAAGAGACCATCACTCGGCTTTCACGAACTTCAAGACATTTGTGTGCCATGAGAAGCCTATGGCCTATTTGGCTACGCCGTATTTGAAAAGAGACCATCATGCATCACAGAGGTATCCTAAGTAATATGAGAGTTGATGTTTTAAGGTCACCGAACGCCTACTAAGCTACCCTACCGATTCTCAAGGCCGGGGCTAAGAATGTAATAGGTATAATCCGAAGCTAGCTCGGGCAGCAGCGTACCCGTGGTTCAATGGAATCCGTGCTAGCGACTCATCATGCTACACTGTCGGCCTAACATAGTGATAACCGTCAGTGGATTGTGTTAGGTCCGAACTGCGAGAGACGGGCACTGCAACCATCCGATCATCCGATCGAGGCGCGTGCATGGAGCACTCTGAAAGCACTACGAAAGGCAAAGCACACGTTTGGAACTTAGTAGGGTGCATTGAGGTCATTCGTTGAGACACCCAAGGAGAAACTGGAACATTCATTTTTGAGTCAATAGGATCCAAGCATAGCTTCAACTCGAAGAAGCGCCATATTCGATGGTCAATGTCAATGCGGCCGTGACATGCATGTGTTTGAAGTGCTTGGAACCCCCATACACACAGTGCATCGTCTAGTGATGTGGTAGATCGCTTCATTGATATGTACGTTGCGTGCCGACTTCTCCATCCGGCCCATCTGTTGCACGGAGTTAATTCCGGTTGTTGCCACAAAATTGTTCTTGGAAGGGTTTTGAGAAAAGGCGGCCTAAGTTCCATATCCACTGATTGGGAACGCTTCGAACCTTTTGAAAAGTCGCTACTGAAAGCATATGCAGCATTCCATGAAATTAAGCAAACGTACAAGTCGTCGTAATTGTCTACTTGGAGTAGTGGTCAAACACCGGCTCGTTTGTCAAACACCGACCCATATGCCACATGAGTCAAAGCCTCAAGAAACTTCCAGCAACAAGTCACTCAAGCCATGCCAACTTGCCTCGTGAGCTTGATCTGGTTCAAAGAACGAAACACAAAGCTAGAAATTGACTTGCGAAGATAACGGGTTTCAGGTTCGACTCCAGATGCACGACAGTTTCATCTGTGTCTTTCTTCCGAGTTGCCAGCACGCTCCGTTTAGACCATCCCGAATGGTCGTGGCTGAATCTGTCCCTCCAGGTACCGCGTGTCCACCCCGGAGTCGCGCACCAGAGCCACCCGCCCCGTGCGCGCCACCTGCGCACACAGCCTGCCAGACTCAGCACCTCACACCAAGTCAGAGCACAGGACGCTGCCGTCCACTGCGGCCCTGCGTGCATGCACTCCAGCCGCCTGCAGCTAGGTAGCGAGCACTCCCCCCCGCCCCACCCCGCTGCTCGCGGCCGGGGTGTGGCGCGGCTGCCCACAGGGGCGCGGCTCACCTCCATGATGCCGAATGGCTCGAGCAGCCGCTGGACGGCCGCGATCTTCTCCAGGTCGCCCGTCACCTGCACACACCACACACGCCACAGCGGCCCCGTCAGGGCGCGCTCCAGCAGCGGTGCACAGAGGCATCAAGTGCGGCAAGGAGCACAGGTCGAGTCGCGAAGCATGACATGATGGAGCGGCAAGGTGGGCAGTTCGCACGCGGCGCTTACCTCGAGTGTGATGGAGGTGGGGGAGGTGTCCACGATCTTGGCGCGGAAGATGCCGGCGATGTCGATGCAGGCGCGGCGGTCGGACGGGCCCGCAGCCACCTTGATGAGCGCCACCTCGCGCTGGCAGAAGGGCACGTGCGACAGGTCCACCACCTGCGGGGCAGCAGCAGCGGGTCAGCGCGCAGGAGGGGAGGCGGGGCGAGGAAGACGAGAGTGAGCGCGGGCGCAGCGAGGGGAGGCGGGCAGCAAAGTACGAGGACACCTTGGGGCAAGCGTGGAGGCAGGGAGCGAGGGCGCTGGCAAGGGACAGTATACTGAGGGGACATAACGAGACGGAGCGAGGCTGGTTCACAAGCCTCACGTCTATGCTCGCCCAACTGACCGGAATGTCTGCATCTCACTTGCAACAACCCAGGAGTGTCGGGGCCGGCAGATGCTGCCATACAAAGACAAGCAATTGGGAAGAGCAAGCCCACACAAAACGTCGGAGCAAGAGCGCCTCAGCATTGCGGCTGACCTCAGCAACGTCGATGAGCTTGTAGAGCTGCTTGAGCAGCTTCTGGATGGACGCGTCCGTGCCCGGGATGACCGTCGTGATGCGGCTGATGCCCGCCGTCTCTGCGGGGCCCACCGCCAGGCTCTGCACACACGCCCAAAAGGGAAGCCTCACAACGCGGCCATGCGGCGGGCATCCGCAAAGTGCACGGTCAGAAACACAAGGTGCGTATCCTGCCAGAACATGCTTGCATTGTGCCGGCGGCCCTTGCCTGGATGTTGTAGCCGCGGCGGGCAATGACTCCGGTGACGCGGTTGAGCACGCCGGGAGAGTCGTCGACGAGCAGGCTGAGCGTGTGCGCGCGCAGGCCGGTGCCGGCCAGGTCGTCCTCTTCCTCCGTGATCTTCCAGTCCCACACGCCAATGCTGTCCGCGTCAAGGCTGTACACGTCGCCCTGCGCGCACCACGCCACGCGTCACACCTCCACTCAGCACGAAATACGCCCCCCTCCTTGAAGAGCATCTCTGACCCGACAGCAGTTCACCTAGTTGGCTGACACAAAACCACTTGACACAATACCTTTTACCAACACGCATGTGGCCCTTTCTCTGCCCTCCCGTTGAGCCGGCGCCTCACCTCAAGCCCCGGGCTGGCCGCTGCGATATCGTCCAGCTCCGGCTTGACGGGCCCCTCCTGCGCGGTGGGTGCGGGGCTGACCTCCGCCTCCACGTCCGTCACTGCGCTCGCATCCGACCCGCGCTCACGCCGCAGCGCAATCTGCAACCATCAGAGGACCTCTCAGGACAGGGGGCACGATAAAAGGTCACGCACACGATGGGTGCACCTGGCACTATAACTGCAATATCCTGTTGCTGCGACAAGGCAGGCTGGCAGTGGGGGATGTGCGCCTGCAGGCACGAGGGCGGGCGGGCGGACCTTGCCGGTACGCGCGAGCTGCTTGATCCCGTAGCGTGCCATGCGGTTCTGGAAGGCGACCATCTTGCCGGGGTCCCCCGTGATCTCAATGGTCAGCGACGTGTCGGCCACGTCCACCACCTTGGCGCGGAAGATCTCGCACAGCTGGATGATCTGCACACACCACCACCGAGCCCAATCACTTTGTTCGCCAGATGGGGCGCGTGACAAACCAGTCACAGGGGCCCGCCAATTGCAAAGGTGCTCTCGACGGGAGGGGGCACAGCAGTGGGGCTCCAGCAGCGGGCTGACCTCAGTCCAGGAGGCGGGGGTGACGTTGAGCTTGAGCAGCATGAGCTCGCGCTCCACGCGGCGCGCCAGCGACAGGTCCTCCACCTGCAGCCAGGCACGGGGCGCACACGCGTTAGTGAGGGCAGGCTGGCCGCACTGGTGCACCAGGTGGCCACTCCGTCGCAGGGTGCCCGGGGCACGCAAAGAAGGAGGGGAGGCGGCGCGGGTGCTGACCTTGCGCACGTTGACGAGCTTGTAGAGCTGCTTCATGACCTGCTGCAGGACGCAGTCGGTACCGGACACGGAGATGGTGAAGAGCGCCTTGTCCGCATTGAGGCCCACAGCCAGCGACTCAATGTTGTAGCCGCGCCGCGCAAACACGCCCGCCACGCGGTTGATCATTCCGCTCTCGTCCGCAACAAACACGCTCACAGTGTGGCGTTTGATCCTGCACAACCGGGAATTCCAATGGTATAAACGTACGGCGCAGCACTTATTGACGGACAGTGAATGGTTGCCGGCCAGTGGCTGCCAGCGCCATGCCGCAGTCAGCAGAAGCATCCTGAGGGCATGTTGTGCGTGGTGCTCACTGGCTCTGCAGCTGGCCCTGCGCCAGGCTGGCGGCCGGAGACACCGCCGCCACCGCTGCCGCGGAGGGCCCCGCTGCGGCCGCCGCGGCACACACCACCGCTGCAGGCACCCAGCGAGGGCCGCCGGGTGCAGCACTGGGCCAGGGGGCATAGGGGGCCGGCAACAGCGCCCCCGCAAAGGGGCGCTCCAGCAGCTTGTCAAAGAGGGAAGAGGGGCAGTGCTGCCGGGAGGAGGAGGGCGCCCGGCTGAGGGGCGCGCCAGGGATGGTGGCCGCCACCTGCTGGAAAGCCGCAGCATGAAGCGCCATTGGAGTTGAACTTGAAGAGCTGGCCCTAATCGAGTGCTCAAGGCTCATGCAGGCACAGCCAAAATAAAACCAATCAAGTGGACGCTAGAGTCTAGACTTCTATTACAATTTACTACATACCTAGATGATGTACTTGGCATAGTGGGCAGGGTTTCAAAAAGTTTTAACTGGCAGCCTGGGGCGGACCTGGCTGGCCGGGAAGGGACCCCGGGTGGTAGCGAAGGCACACGCCGGTTGGTACCGTACCTAATCCGGATGGGAAACTTTGCCCAATGATTGATTTCATATAGGTATCACGTCGCAGCTTGGGCAAGTCAAATTCCGATCCACTTGTTTGAAATTTTCGGCAAACTCTAGAATTCAGCTTATTTTGCTTATTTTGGGCCCGTTTTGCCCCTCGAAATCAGATCATTCTATGATTTAAAAGATATTCGGCAGATTTTGGCCTTTCCAGCTTTTGAATTTCCGCCCAACCGGACTAGCGGTACGGTGTGTTGGCATTGACTTGGATGTAATCACAGCCTACAGGGCCCGGGCGATAGAGCCGACCGCCCAGGTGATTTGTATCTGGCCGGCTGGCCGCCCGGTGACGAAACTCCGTCAACGAACTGGCATAGAGCCTGTGGGATCCCCTTGAATTCATTTCCTAGACTTCTTTCTTGATAGTTCAATAGTTGCTTACTTTATTACTTGATCAGTTGATCAGTTGATCAGTTGATCAGTATTTATTTATCTACCGTTCTACCGTAGTTACACGGCTCTTCTTCACCCCTTTTTCATTTCCTTCACTTCTTTCGACTAGTACCGTAGGTGCTCAGTATCTAATAGTTTTCAGTGCGTCTTAGGATCGTTTTGAGATCTTGACAAATGTGAAGTTTCGATCGCGATCATGAAGGTTTCAAAATGTGCAGACTCAGTCGACCTACGAACGACGATACGGGCCCGATACGGGTCCGATACGGGGGGGAACGACACTCTTGAGAACTCTGAAGAGTACAAAACAGTCAATCCATGGACGTGATCAAATTTGAAGCCCGGCCTAGCCGGGGCCTAGCCTAGCCACCTTTCTTGCATTGTTGCATTGCAAGACGCGTGTTGAAACCGATGACCACATCAAGGATTGCCGCTCTATATAGCTATATTCAGTGACCGAAATTCAGTGACCATTTCGTTAAAATGGTCGCATGAAGCTACAGTCGCTTCAAATTGATGACGGTGTCATCGGTCTGCAGTGTACCTATTGTGTTACTAACTAGATTGACGTGAGATTTGAGACGTTGATTACGCTAGCGTCTCAGTGAGCAACTGTAACCGCTTAATTTGATTTGCACTGCCGCCATTGAACATCGTCCATGGCACAATTGCCATTGATTCAAAAGTCTCAGAACCCTGTTGTAAGGCCCAACCTAGATTTGTCCCATAGGGACTTATTTTGGTTGTCCGGCACTCGTGCTTATCATTGTCGAATGCGTTGATGGCAGCCATGCATCCCAAGAGGATTTTGCACGAAGCGCCTCAGAAGCGATAAATCTTTCTCTTTTCACACTTTTCTTGTAAGATAGATGTCAATGGCCGGTGTGTCTTATCACCACTGTCTCTGAGAAATCTCTTCAATTTACTGGGCTCACTAGCCGACTAGGCGAGTCATCCAGCCTCCAAAATCACAGAATCACTTACACTCCCTTAATAGTATTGATATCCTCATTTATGCATTAATCGGCAGTCCTTTCAACCTCCTAACCTTCAAACCGCCTAACACTTTGACCGTCGAACCGCCGTGCACGCACCGTCGCCGGCGCTCACTAGTGCAACCCCTATCGCAGTTCGAACTTTACTCTGTCACGCCGTAGAGGCTCGTTTGCTGTAGTGCATTGTGCTCAAGCGCGTACGCATATGATTTTAGCCGTCGATGATAGAGTTGTGACTTGATCAAAAACGGCTGCACATGAACCATACATTTGATAGATTGCTGAGATCAAACTTAAGGTGTAGATTGCAGAAACGTGACTACAAGCGGCCAGCCCTACAAGATGGTCCAGGTGTGCCAAAACGGAAGTTCCTTGAGCAATTGTATTATTTCTCTATGGTATGCGGTAAGGCAAGTTTGGCGGTGCATTAAGTGTGCATCATTCCATGAACAACCGGAGTGCTTATTTCGGTAGCCAGCTTAGATTGTTTGCTGGAAAGCTTACCATGGTGCAGTTCGAAGACGAGAGTTGCCGAGGCGTTGCTGAAGCGACAGTACGTGTACTGCAAGACAAGACACAAAGTAATTTGGCTGATTACGCAATCATCGAACACTATTACTCCCATCCAAACGAATCACTAGCTCATCACGCTTCTCTTGCAAGCTATCTCTATTTCGCCTTTGGCGACCTCCGCACGCCTTCACTTGCCATCCTCGTACTCCCAATAGTATATGGTGCATCGCTCTTCAGTGCTGGCAACGTCTTTTGCCACGGCTTCTGCTGCCGCTTCCACTACTAGTCAACACCATTTGGCAGGCTCCCGACCAGGAATTCGCCATTTCTTCTGGAGCTCCACGAGCTTTTTGTTACACGTTTCTCACTAACGGAGTTGCTATGCGCCGCCCGGTGGGCTTCATGTTCGTCTCCAATGTCCTCCAACTCCTTCGCAGCTCCGCGCACCATAGCACACCGTTTATGCAAACGGCCCACTTTGGCTTTCTCTTGAGATGGTGCCGCAAACCGGCTACGACTGATCGCGAGCGCACTATTTCAAACTTCGCCCATGCAATCGACCTCTTTTGAACCCGTGCACCGTCTCTCGTCGGCCGCCAGAAAGATACCCGGCTCTCTGTTTGACGTTTCTCTCCCCTTCGTCCGACTCCACGAGGTCGATTCCAGGACCTCCATCGACCAAGTTTACCACGCTTTTCGCTTTCACTGACCTCGTTCAAGCCGTGGCAACAATCCGGTATTCCTTTCAGAGAACGCTCCATGCTTCCTCACGTGTGACATATATCTTCCACGGTCCTCCTCGCTTAATGACCGTCATGCAAACCACGCCTCCGGACTCAATTTGCGCGGTTCTTCTCAAGCACAAATTGTGCTTCCGTGTTGGGTGCCATTGGTTACAACAAACAAATTCGCATTGCCTTCAAAGCGGGGCCGAATCGTCAAAGATACCGTACCCACACCACCTGAGGTAATAAAGTCTAGCTTCACTCCTTCGATTCCAACGACCACTAGAGGCTTACCATAAAGTCCCACAGTTTTCTCTCCACGCACAAGCTTTTTGTAGCTTGTGAACTGGCTCTCGAATCCACTGTACGTGCTAACCTCTGCACAAATTGACTATCTACACTCTTTTCCGCATTTCCCCGTGACTGCCTCATGCCATGTAAAGGCTACTTTCACGAACTTTTGCTGTTCTATGGAGCTCCTTGCATCCGTAGGCTGCCTGCACAATGCCATCGATGTCTCGCATTTTGCCGCATTTGCGACACCTCATCTTCATTTCAAAGTTGAAAAACAGCGCTGTTGGGAGTGATATTGAATCAATCAAGTTCGCACAATGTGTATGGATTGTTTGGGGATCATGGCCTATCTCTGAGTCGACACTACTAGCCTAGTATGCTCAATGGTGAATCGCTCGGTCAATCCAAACATTCTACTCCGTACCGTACATCGACGGCTATTATCGGGCCTACTTCAATTCGACGCTTATCGTAATAGTCATTCGGGCATCTCGACCGTTAGATAGTGTGCCCAATCTCTTGGGTGACGTCGACGGGAGTTTGCCGGTAATGGGTGGTTACGGTTGGCAATTAAATGTGCATTCGGATAACTAATAGTGAAAACCGCCGTGATGAGTAGGTTCGATACTAGCCGTAGATATTCAGAGTTGTCCGAAAGTTTCGGACTTGCTTATCCGCGGTAATCGAGTCTACTAGGCTATCAGCATAAATCTAGACTAAGAGTGTGACTCTAGTTGGGTGGGTCTAGCATAGCACACGGACACCATGCATTAGGATCGCTAGACTCCAAATACTGGATATACATTGTTTGAACTTGACCATTCGATCACTCATTCTCAACAACGCCGTTTTTCAACAGGTATTGGGCCCATGGCGCACGACGGCGTACCACGGCGCCTAGGGAGTGAGAGGGCAAGCATTCAATAGTAGGCCTCCAGGAAGGCGATTGTTGAATCTTTGCGCCGAGGTCGGCCAATGGTTCTCTTCGGTCAATGAAGGCATCGGTGGGGGCGGTCCGCTTTATCGTGGATGCTCTTCAAGCAAAGCGACATTCGTAATTCCGTAAGGGGAATCAAGTGGCGAGGAAAGCCCGGAAAGGAAATTTCACCTTTGGTTTTGAGAAAGAGAGAAAGGGAACGCAATTCCGAAATGACCGACGGATACAGGACCCACATCGATAAGTTGGGTGTGGTGAACTCCAGAACATGGAGTTTAAAGATTGAGTTTTTTCTGACTTCCATGGATCTATGGAATGGAGTTAAGGATCCCGTAGCGCATCCAGCTCGATTAAAAGCAACGTTGTCCATCATCGAACTGAACGTTAAGGACAACCATTGAAGCCTGCAAAATTGCAAAGCAGGCTTGGGAATTCCTTGAGAAGACCTACAAAAACAAAATCAATGCAAGGAAGATGCAGCTCATGCAAGAGTTGCATTATTTTAAGATGAAGTCGAACATGATCCCGTGACCATGTATGTTGGACGGGCAAACAGACTTGGTCGCCACCAGTTTTTGTGTTTTGAGATGAAGCCGGGACAAAAAAGAACAAGAAAGAAAGAGCAAAAATAAAACTTGGCATGGAGCGTGCTTGCGGGATTGCCCAAGACGTTAGATTCCTTGAGAACAATTCTAAAGGCTGGGGGGGCGCCATAAGCTTGATGGATGTGATCCTCTTTGTGCACGAGCGGCAGTTTGAGGAGTTGCCCAAGGAAAAGAGTGGCAGTGTGGCCGACCCCGCTGTGGCCCATGTGGCCCGGCGGCAAGGGAGCAAGGAGAAAGTCTACGACATGATTAGAGCCGTGGCAAGGGGCCTAAGTGCTATAATTGCGGGGAGTTCGGTCACAATGCCCGGAACTGCAGAAAAGTCGGACAAGCGGGAGCACAAGTCGGACCACTAGAAAAAGGCGAAGCCTCCCAAGGGTGTCGCCCATTATTGAGGGGGTGTGTATCGACGGGTACAAGCTCGTTGATTTGGGTAGCTCCCGACACCTATTGGAGACAAGAGCCTGTTTGAGACCTTTGAAATGTTTTTGAGGAGTGGGCCGAGAATCCACATGTAGGGACAAGGGAACCCTATGGTCCAAAGGAACGGCTCGCTCGAGCTGCGGTATGCGACATCGACCGTAGAAAGTCTGGTCACTCAGTACAACGTGATGTTGTGCCGGGGGTGGCGGCGAATTTATCTCGGTGAGCAAGCAAACGAAGTCGCGTCGATGTTGTCAAGAAGGACGGCAATTTCGAGCTCAAAGAAGCAGTTTTGCCCCTTGCTTGTCGCGATAGATCTAAACCGTCCCTAGCTCCAGCCCCAAGTCTCCCCCCAACTTGCGAAACCACAGCGCCTACTTCACCTACACCTGTGCCGCATTCAAGTATTCCACCGTCGACATTGCCACCGTTGCCTGCAGACGGCTTGACCAACTCACCGCTTCCCAAACATCAGGCAGACGTACCCGGTCGTGGAACGCCTTGAATCCGCGTCCCCACAGATTCCGCGTCGCAAAACCCCTCTAGAACGTCTTCGCTCCCTTCAAAGGTGATTCCGGCCGCTCCCGTTCCTGCCAAGTAGCGCACCACCGCGCGCGCCAGGCCCCCACGGTCTGAGCGATTTCGAGCCGCGTGCACACACTCAAGTGCAACATACTCTTAATGAGCTCGTTGTTGGAGAAGTTCGCCGTGTCAAGCGGCATCCCCTCCTTCGTCAACTTCTCCCCCGTGGCAAGAGGCACCAAGCGCACCCGCGCGCCCATCAATCCGTGCCTTGCGATTAGCTCCCCCGTCACCTTCTTCAGCGTCGGCTTTAGGGTGCGCGCCTATTGGTCGCGCGACAGCTCCATCCCGAGGAAGTACATCGCCTCCCCCAATTCCCGCACGTCGAACTTCTCCACCAAGTGCGCCTTCACCTTCGCTATCCACTCCGCCCTCGGCCGCGATGAGGCGTCGTCGACCCACACGATGAGGTAGACTTGCTCCCCCGTTCACCACTCCCGAAAAGAGCGCCGCATCCGCAGAGGATGCCACGAACTTGATATTCCCGAGCTCCTCCTTCAGACGCGTGTGCCACGCATGCGGCGCCTGGCGAATCCGTACAGGGTGCGCTCCGGGATCCGTCCTGCTCGTACCCCTGCAGTTGCAGCATGAACTTCTCCTCCTCAAGCTCACCGTTGAGGAACGCCGTCTTGACGTCCAACTGGTGCAACTCCAAATCGCGCTCCGCGACCACCGCAAGAAGCGCCCGCAAAGTCGTGTGCTTGCTCACCGGGGCGTAGACTTCCTCGAAGTCAATTCCCTGCTTTTGCATGTACCCTTTTGCCACTACGCAAGATTTATACCGCTCCACGTTCCCGCGCTCATCCCGCTTAAATTTGTAAACCCACTTCATGGGAATCGGCTTCACCCTCTCCGGTTTTTTGAGAAGCTCCCACGTCCCGTTCTCCAACAAGGATTGCATCTCCTCGTCCATCGACTTCCGTCAGAGCTCGCTCTCTTCTTCCCCCTATGGCTTTCTGATACGTTGGGAGCTCCGAATGCTCCCCCGACCCCTTGGGGTGCTCCCCCGACTCCGCCGCCGTAATTGCCCGGTACCACTCCTTGGACGCCCGCCTCGCTCTAGTGGGGTATCTGCGGTCCGCCATCTCGTCTTTCGTGAGATCCTCGGTATCCCCGTCCCCTTCGACGGGCAACCCGATCTCCTCGCTTCCGCTCTGCGGAAAATCAACCCCATCTCTCTCGGTGCCGGCCTTCCCCATAGAAATAGCTCCTGCACCCGGCTGAGTGCCGGCCTTCCCCGTGGGGATAGCCCTTTATCCATCCGAGTCGGAGGGCTCACACGACTAGGGTCGCGAGCACCCCCTTCTCCTTCGGTCGGAGCCAAGCTCAACAACCACAGAGGATCCTCGCTGATCCACGATCACATTGCGGGAAGTCAACACTCTACTATCCCCCGCTCGGAGGACCCGGGACGCCTTGGACTTAGTCCATCTTCTTCCGGTTTCCCTTGGGCACGTGGATGTAGGCCCGCGCTTCAAATACCCGCAAGTAGCTAAGGTTTGGCTTCTCCGCGTAAACGTCTCCCACGGGGTCTTGCCGTGCACGCTCGAGGCACCCCATCCCGCGTGTAGTTAGCGGTAACCATCGCTTCCGCCGACAACTCCGGATCCAATCGGGCGTTTGTAGCAAAGCCCGCCCCCTTTCCTCGAGCGTCCGGTTCAATCGCTCCGCCGAACCGCTTTGTTCGGGAGAGTGCCCCACCGTGGTCCGTTGCATCGTCCAGGCTCTCTTGCCGAGGAGGGCCGTCATACCCTCGTTGACCTACTCCCCACCCTAGTCCGTCTGCACCAACTTGACCTTTTTAACGGAGTGCAACTTCAACCGGGCAAACACGCTCTCCGTGACCGCCGTGACGTCGCTCTTCCGCTTCATCGATTGCACCACCGAAAGCTTGCTATAGTCGTCGAGAAAAGTGGCGAAGTACCTACACACCCCCTTTGACGTCACCAGCATGGGCTCGCACACGTTCATGTGCACTAGCTCGAGGGCCCCGTCCTCTCCTTAGAGTCCGACTCCTTGGGAAACGGCGTCGGCTTTGCTTCCCTATGATGCAAGGCTCGCACAACCACGGTCTTCTCCTCCCGAAACGCCTCGGCTTTTACCCCCACACCCCGACCGATGCTTGAGGTCGACCATCTTGGCCAACCTCTCGTATCCGGCGTGCCCCAATCTCCGATACCACAACACCGGGGTCTCGGCTTCCCTCACGAGCAAGCACGTGTCCTCCCACGTTGCTTTCGGTTGGCAGACAATCGACATGCCCTCCACTTTATCCTCCGCCCGAAGCACAATCTTTCGGCCACGGTCAATTTACACACCTCCCTGACAAACACAACCGCCGCCCCTACCGCGGTCGAATTCTTCACCGAAAAGACATTTTCCGCCACATCGGGAACATATGCCACCTCGCGGAGACGGTTATCCCGCTCTCCGAAGGGCGTCTCACACCGCAACTCCACGGTGCCAACCCCGGCTTCCTCAAAGAACCAAATTGTTCTCAAATTTGATTCTCCGGGCCCCCGGCTCAAGCATCTCCAACCTCGAGAAAAAGGCTCTGGACCCCATTATGTGTTGGGAAGCCCCTGAGTCATTAATCCACCTCCCGGTGTCCAACCCTTCCCGGGCTTCAAAAGCAACCCCTTCCCTGCCCTGATTTCCCCCTTCTTTGGGCAATCCCTCTTGAAGTGGTTTGGGGTACCGCAAGTGTAGCACTTTTTTCCCGTTTTGGGCCTCTCGGGCTCTCGGGGCCCTGACATGCACTCCCTCTCAAAGTGCCCAAGCTTTTCTCACTTGTGGCAACCTATGGAAGCCTTCCCCGGGCCTCCCTTGCCCTTCCCGGCAAAGTTGCCACCCTCGGCAGCATAGGCTACCACTTTTGCCGAGCCCGAGGCCCCGCTGTCTTGCTCCTAGGCTGACAGCCCATGCCTCAGCTCAACACCTGCAACGTGGAAAGAACTTCACCGAGTCGAGCTCCTCCTTGGCCGACGTCAACACCGTACCAGCCCCTCAGACCCGGCTAGTCAACCCGGCAAGCACGGTAAAGGATAGATCATCCCGCTTCATCTTAACACCAGCAGCAACCAAGTCCCGGCAAGGGTCTTGTGCCCTACCCACATATCGGCAACGGACTCACCAAACCTCATCTTGAGGGTGCTCAACTCATGCCTGAGGGACAACTTCCGAGCTGCACTTTTGCCCTTGTAGGTCTTCTCTTGCGCGTTCCAAGCTTTCTTGGCATTGTCTGCAACTAAGATTGTCCTAAGGTGCTGTTGCCGAACGTGCAAGCCTATCAAAGCTCTTGCTTCCTCGGTCCTCTTCGCATCAGCGGCCGGATTCGTAACCTCTTTCCACAACTTCTTGTGTTTGAGGAAGGGTTGCATCCTCTATGACCACACCGTCTAGTTGTCAACATTTAGAGGCTCTATATTGACCTCGAGTCCTTAAGCCATCTTTATCGCTAGCTAGCCAAACAACGCTTTTTGGGCTGGGTGTCATGCATGTCTGGATCGAGCCCTAATCGAGTCGAGGCCGTCTGACGTGAAGTCAGGAAATTGAAAATGGGCCATGCGGCCTTGCGTAATGACATGCTATGCAAGCTACGGCTAAATGCAGCCTGACAATCCGTGCATGATATGCATCATGGCTCTAGTCTCCAACGAGCTTGCAGCCGTCACGTGGCCAAGCTCCTCTAGGGCACACGGCAACGTGGAGGCAACGAGCAATGACTCTGCTATGCCAAGTGGTCGCTAAGGGCTGGCTGTCATGCATGAGCGGAAGCAATGGCGAGACAAGAAGGAAGCAAGCTAGGTAGATGCAAGGGCAAAACGAGCAACCACTTGCACAAAGAATGGCAAGGTGGCGCGCAGGGTCGCTAATGTCTATCGAGTCTACAAAGGTCCTCGGTATGTACGTATCGCGCTAATGCAACGGAGTCTACAGTCACACTATAATCGAAAGCTACGTAACGTCGTCAAAGTGCCGGTAGGTCTAACAAAATCTGTCGAATGTGAGTCGTCGTAGAATGTAAAGTCTGTGCTAATGTAACGCTACACTGAGTAACACGCTACACGTATGAATGGGCGCAACTATTGAGTCGAAATATACTATCCCAATGGATGGTGGTCAAACGAGGTGACGCCATGTTGGCGCGCACACCAATATGCTGGCGGAATGTGAGCCGTCGACCCCGTCATCGGACGGTCAAAATGCGATCGCTATCGAAGGGATCGAATGTTCGCCAGATATGCTAGATCGGGTTGCTACCGGGAAGACCGGGTGCGAACCGAGTCGAGCTGGCGGTGTCTGATAAGCGTCTATCGCTAAATCTAACGGCCAGAAGCCAATGCATATACGGTTTGGTTAGCATCTAGAGCGACCAGGGACCGCGTATGTCGTATGCACGATAGGTCGGAGCCTGTGCTCGCGCATGTGCGAGCGCGGGTGAACCCGGACCCGAGAGCGCATCCGGCAATGTGATAGCCGCGGCGGCTAGAGCCGCGCGCTAGCTAGCTATGCGGTGCACGGCGCGTTTGCAAGCGCAGCGCGCTCGACATGAAACGCACTCGACATCAACGGGCGTGACATGGGTACTCCCCTGTGCCGAGAAGTTTGTAGGTATTTTCACGGGCGTCGCGAGATAGAGTGTTACTCCACTTCTTAGCCCCCACTGGAATACCTTTCACCAACCTAGAATTGTTGTTGCTAGCAACGGCTTACTACTCTTCCCTCACTCCTAGCGTCGTGGTCTCATGACCTGTTGAAAGCAAGCGCCTTAGAGCGCGTTCCAAGTCAAGCACAACTATTAGGAAATAAGTGTCCAATATAAGTCAATGGTCCAAGTCATAATTTCGGGGCTAGGTCTACTTGGTCGAAGCCAACTCTAGCTTAAATGTGAGTCAACTCAAACATCAACGGCCTGGCCTCAGGATTTCACAAAGATGCATATCCAACGAGTCCATGCTGGTCTAGGGAGCAACTACCAATGGGGTAACTACCAATGGGGTAACTGCCGGTGGGGTAAATGCCAGTGGGGTGATTGCCAATGGCCGGTAATTGCCAAGGGGTAATAACCAAACTCAATGAACGGCTACAAAATCATCTAGGATCTTGATCGTGCTCACACAATAGTAGTACTATTTAAATTCAACATTCACATGGAGGTCTAGAAGGGACCCAAAATTGAATCTCTGCGTAACGACGACGCGGCTGCCCGCGCTCTCTATCAGCGGCTACCGTGCGCGCTTTCACAAACGGGCCAAAATGAGGGCAAGTTGAAACTATGCGCAGGGACAAGGCAGGGCTGGAAGAGATGAGGAGGACCCCCGGTTGCGAACACGAGAGCTTGCCGAAGATGGTCGAAGAAGGATGGGTTCGATGTGTGGGGATCAATGCCGAGGCGTTTTCGGGAGGAGAAGGCCGTGGTGTTGGAAGTTGGGGTTGATTAGGCGGCCAAATTGTTGCTTAAGGCCGTGGGTACTAGCTACTTTAGCTAGGCTACTTGAGACCGTACGATCTTGAGTTGTTACCCCGTGTGAACGGTCGATCATGGAGGTTAGACATAAGAGGAGTAGTACGTTAGATGAGTTCACTGTAGAGTGACGATCAAGAGACGACCGTTGATTGTCGAGGTTGCGCACTAGAGGGCTGATTGTAGGCTCGACTAGTATGACTTTGAGGCTTGTTTTGTGATGAAAACTCATATCAAGAGATGCTTGTTGAGAAGGGAGCGCTTTTTTGGTAAATGCGCTTGTAACCAGGGTGGTTAGACCCTATGTTGTTGCAAGCATGTGTATATGATTTCAACAGGTTATGAGCCCACACGACGCACTCTAGGTATTGAAGAGGATGAAGCGGTCGTTGTAAGGGGAACAGAAAAATCTTGAGGAGCGTTTGGGAACGGTAAAGGAAACCGTTACCGTGGAAGAGTTGGCGGGAGTGAACGAGGCCACCGCTCGGATCCCAGTTCTAAACGAAGAGAAGTGGTCCACGTGGAAGGACAAGTTCCGGGTTCTTTTTGCCTATAAAGAGTGGTTGTGTGTGTTAGACAAGCCGGAGTCTGTAGAAGGAAAGTAGTTGTCAAGCCAAGCGGGAGGTTTGATGCTTATGCATACGGATGATGCATATGTAAAGTTCTTTGCCGGGGCGGATACGGCGTTAAAGGCTTGAAGGAAGTTAGGGTTGAACTTTTTAGGCTTGAAGTTGACACCCGAGAAAAGCGTCGCGGAGTATGTGGGAGACTTCCGCCACATCAAGATGGACTTGAAGACGGCGGTGCAAACCGTCTCGGAGGTAGATTGGGCGGTCCATGCGTTGAATGGGTTGCCTAAGGAGTATGCAACTCTAGTGGAGCTTCTAGAGTTGGGTGAAATGGAATTGACGTTGGATGCGGTTCAACCCGAGCTCATGCCAATGGAGCAACGTTTGAGGTTGGACGCAGTGTTAGGAACTCTGGAGGGGAGGGATAAAGGAGAATATGCCGGCTTCGGCGTTTGCTGCCAAGCGGGAATGGTACGAGGTAACCGTTGCCAAGGGGTCAAGCGAGTGGATAGTCACCGGAGGGAGAAAACCTGACACGAGAACTTGCTATGCTTGCTGTGAGAAGGGCCACGTCCGGGACTATTTGTCGGAAGTTTAACGTGGACAAGGAGTGCTACAATTGCGGGGAGAGGGGACACATCCTCTCAATGTGTAGGAAAGTCCGGGGTGGTACGGGTTGCGGAGGTGAGAACCGGCAAGAGTTTATAGGTGTGGCGTTTAAGGCGTGGCACAAGGAGGCGCGGGTGCCGGCGGGGGTATTGCTCGTCGATTCGGGAAGTAACACATCACGGCAAATAGGGGTAAATTCGCAATCTATGACAGACTTGCACGTACAAAGAAAATTGGGGGGATTGGGGGAGAAGCCTTGAAGGCGGTGGGGTTGGAAAGGTTCTCTTGGAGTGTGAGACGCCAACTGGGGCGAGCATGGTAACCTTGAATGAGGTTTGGCACGTTCCCGGAGCAAGGGCGAACTTGTTGGCGATGTGGAAAGCAAATGACGCGGGAGCAAGGGTTTGCTTTGAGAGAGGAGTAGCCCGGTTCGAGAAGGGAGTTGTAGTCCGCATGGAGGCCGTGCAACGCGACGCGTTGTGGGAGATTGCAACGGTGAAAAAGGGAAGAGCGTTCTTGGCGGTCAAAAGGCCGGCCAACGTGGGTGGGAGGACTGGAGAGGCGGCAAGGAAGCCGCCCGTAGTTGCGGAGAGAAAGCGGGTGGAGGTGAAGCCGGTCAAGTTCATTGAGGTTGACCTTGAGTTGGACGATGAGTCGGACGATGGGTTGAAACAGACCCAATCGGTGGATGTGAGCGTCGGGGAATCGGAGGCCCCCACGAAAATGGTGACGGAGGTGCGCGGCGCAACGAAAGCCGTGGAAGCGCGTGTAGCGGAGGCCGTGGGAGCAACCGTAGCAAAAGTCGTGGGAGCACACATGGTTGGGGAGGTTGTTTTTTGTTGAGAGTGAGGAAGCGACGTCGCCGGAAGCAGGCAACAAGCATTATCCGGAGCGGGCACGAGTAGCGCCGGCGAGGTACGGCGGCGGCGAGGCGAACGAGGGTAGGGTGACCGTGACGCCGAAGGCCAAGAAGAAGACGGGCCGTAGAGGCTAGCGCGGGGGAGCACTCAACAATTAGTCCGCGCGGGAGTGTTGGAAGTTGGGGTTGGTTAGGCGGGCAAATTGCTGGTGTAGGCCGTGGTTACTAGCTAGTTTAGCTAGGCTAATTGAGACCGTACGATCTTGAAATGTTACCCCGTGTGAGTGGTCGATCATGGAGGTTTTACGTATGAGGAGTAGTACGATTTCAGCCGTTAGATGAGTACATTGTAGAGTGACGATCGAGTTCCACGACGACCGTGGATTGTCGAGGTTGCGCACTAGAGGGCTGATTGTAAGCTCGACTAGTATAACTTGGACGTTTGTATGGGGATGAAAACTCATACTAAGAGATGCTTGTTGGGAGGAGAGCGCTTCTTTGGTAAAGGCGCTTGTAAACAGGGTGGTTAGACCCTACGTTCTTGCAAGCATGTGTGTATGATTTTAACACATGGTGTGCGAGCCTTGCATCATGGGGAAGCAGACCCAGACGCCGTTCCTCAAGGAGTTGGACTCTTAGGAGTCCCTCGAGCTAGTGCACATGGACATGTGCGGGCCCATGCCGGTAACGTCATAGGGGGGAGTAGGGACTTGGCCACTTTCCTCGACGACTATAGCAAGCTTTCGGTGGTGCAACCGATGAAGCGGAAGAGCGGCGTCACGCAGTCATGGAGAGCGTGTTTGCTCGGTTGGAGTTGCAATCCGAGAAGAAGGTCAAGTCGGTGCAGACGGACCGAAGTGGGGAGTACGTCAACGAGGGTTTGACGGCCCTCCTCGGCAATGGAGGGACGGTGCAATGGACCAACGTGGGGGACTCTCCCGAACAAAGCGGTTCAGTGGAGCCTTTGAATCGGGCGCTCGAGGAAAGGGGGCGGGCTTTGCTAGAAGGCGCCAAGTTGGATCCGAAGTTGTGGGCGGAAGCGATAATTATTGCTAACTACACGCGGAACCGGGTGCCCTCAAGCGTGCCCGGCAAGACCCCGTGAGAGATGTTTACGGGGAAAAGCCAAACCTTAGCCACTTGCGGGTGTTTGGAGTGCGGGCCTACATCCACGTGCCCAAGGGAAACCGGAAGAAAATGGAGTTGGTGAGCGAGCGCGGGGTGTTTTTGGGTTACGAGCCAAACTCCAAGGAGTCCTCCGGAGCGGGAAGGTAGGGTGTGTTGAAACTCATGGTAGGGAGTCGTAGTGTAGTTGAGTTACTCGTCAGTGGGTGTTATCGTGTTGTTCGGCACCCATCATCATGACTCATTGATGCCAGCCATGCATCTCAAGTGGAACACACGAAGCGCTAACAAGCGGCTTCCTTCTCCACAAACTTCTCTTCGAATGATGTATCACAATAGTGTTTCTCTCCGCTATTGTCTCACGGGTCTTCCCGTTCCACTAGGCTCACTAGCCTACTAGGCTTACTAGCCTAAAGTCACACACTGCTAGGCTCACTAGCCTAGCTTACAGTCACACTGAATTTTAGCCTTCAATAGCCTCATCTACGGCTTACACTGATGGTCGCTCTCAACCGCCTTAGTAACCTCCAATCCGCCTAAAGGTCTAACCGCCTAATCGCCGTACACGAACGCCGGCGCTCACTAGTCCAAACCCTACACGGATCGAACCCTAATCACATAGTAATTCGGCTGACCATATCACCGAATTCTGACAGGGTGTTGACTTCCGCGACGCGATCGTGAATGAGCGCGGATCCTCTGTGGTTGTTGAGCTTGGCTTCGACCCGAAAGAAGGAGGAGGGGGGTGCTCGCGACCCTAGTCGTGTGAACCCTCCGACTTGGATGGGTGCAAGGGCTATCCGTACGGGGAAGGCCTG